CAGTCTCTCCTCCTCCCCCGTCATCTGTTCCTGTGTGCTCTGGTCAGATATATCCTTCTCCCGAAGCTGCAGATTCAGTGCCATCCTTTGAGATACATTCTTCTCAGGGGAGGGGCAGGCATCCACTTAGTATTTGGGGCTGGGACCAGCCCCGGGATGCTTTCTTAATGTATAATTACTCTTTATATAAAACTCTCTCTTATACACACACACACAAAAGAAAATGTGCTTGATACAATTGATGTATGGAATGTATAAGAACTTTAAGAGCCACCAATAAAATAATTTTTAAAAAAAGGAGTTAGATAGCAACCAACTAGGGATTTTCAAAATACTTTTATTGGCGTATAATTAACATGTTACAATTTAATTGTTCAATCATACTAAGAAGAGATGAATTTCAGAACATTTTCATCATTCTCGTACTCATTGTTGTTAGGCTCGTTGTTAGCTTCCCATTTCCCTGCAACATCTCCTGCCATGCCTCTAAATAATTATTACTCCAGTTATTGTCTCTATAGATTTGCCTGTCTTGGATTTCATATACAGAAAATAGGAACCCGAAAGAGCCAACAATGACAAAAACCTCAATGAAAAGAAAGCTGAAAATATTAAAAACTGGCAGTGTGAGACATGACAAAATAATAATTATAACTTATCAAGGGTTCATGAGGGAGAGAGGGGGTGTGGGGACAGTGGGGAAAAATGAGTTGCTGAAACCAAGGGCTCAAGTAGAAAGAAAATGTTTTGAGAATGATGCTGGCAACAAATGTACAAATGTGCTTGACACAATGGATGTATGTATGGATTGTGATAAGAGTTATGTGAACCCCCAATAAAATGATTTATTAAAACAAACAAACTGGAAAGCAAACAAACAAAAAACCCAAACTGAAACAACTTGAAAAATAGGTCAAAGGGGAAATCAAATGAGAAATGGTTAATATAAAACTCTTCTCCAAGAAAAATAGACCTTACTAGAACCATGGTTAAACCTGTATATCACCAAAGAGGGACTATAGATCACTAATAAATATATGAAAAGATAACCAAGCTCATACTGTGAGAGTAAGTCTCAAAAAGTATTGCTGCAAGGGTTCTAGTTTATACATGTGCAGGTTTATTCCAAACCAACCCTGTTTAAACATGTCTGCCATCCGTGGATGACTGCAGACAAGTTCTCTAAGAAATAATACTTGTCTTAGTCTCTCTTGTTAGGATGCCTTAAAAATTTTTTTTTCAAATCAGTTGTTTCCCCAAGGGCATCTGCTGGGGGAGTTACAATTCAAGGCAGAGAGATCACCTTAGAAGGTCACGATGACTGTTGATTGAGATCACACCATAAGTTGGGATCGACTCAATAGCAGTCAGTTTGGTGTTGGTGTAAAGGATCATCCTGATTTTTTAAAGGACACAAAACTACTCCTAGGGCTCACTAGGAAGAAGTTGGAAAAATGAAAAACCGCACTGGTGAGAAAAAGGCCAGGAAAGTTGCACACAGAATTTTTCTTCTCACAGTACACCTGCTCATTCTGCAAGGGAAGCAAGGGAAGTCCTGTGAGAATTTCCTTGGGAAACTTCACTCCTTTGCCTTCCAGTCCTGATCTTGCCCCTTTAGACTTCTTTTTATTCTCCAAACTCAAAGAGCATTTAAAAGGAACACAGGTTTTTCGAGGATGCCAAAACTTTCACTTTCATGTGTAAATTGAAGCGCTCAGATTTTTCATGGAAACATTAGAGAGATTAAATGCTGCTTTCCAAAGTATATAGACTTAGATGTCGAAAACAATAGCTTCACATTTTGATAGGTCCATATAATAAAAGTTTGTATAATTTTGTGACAGTACTTTTTGACCTACGCTTATGTTAATCAGGGAAATGTAAATTCAGATGATGATAATTTTCCACTCAGGATGTTGAAAAGAACTTTAAAAAGATAGAAAATAGTGATTATATGTAAGGATATGGAAAACCAATCAAACCTCTATGGTATACCACTAGTAGGTTTATCTTTTTGGAAGACAGTGGCCAAACGGATATCCTATCTAGGCAGAAATCCTGCAGTGGATACATCAGATCCACTTAGTTTTTAAGAGATGGTAAAGAGGAGTTTAGAAATTAATCCTTGGAGTGAGTCCAGTCTGACCACCAAGAAGGGAATATACAGACCAGCAAGGAGAGCAAAGCAAAATCACAAAACCCCTGAGGAGCCCCCAAAATAGACTTCAGGCTAGGCGGGCAGTTCCCAGAACCCTCTAGGACCTGTGGGGAAAAGTCATAAAGGTCAGAGGACAGACCTGGAATTATGTATGCCTCTCCCCCATATCCCCCGCCCCCAGTATCTTTTTCCTTTCTATTCTCTTTTTATCCAATCTTTTGTTTTGTCTCTGCTGTTGTTGTTTTGCCTGCCAATATAAGATAGGCATAGGAAACGAGCCCAAGGAGAAAGCAACAGGACCAAAGGTTGCAGGGACCTTGGCGGGGGAGGAGGCTGGGGAAAGGAGCTGTGAGTAAACACCACCATAGACAGGGCAACAACTGGGGAATTAAACAGCAGGGAGCATATAGAGATTTTGGTGGTGGTAGAGCAACAGCAATCTAGCTGAGAGGAATTACTAAGAGGCAGAAGAAGGCGTGCGTGATGTGAGGCAGGAGGAAGGTAAAAGGAAACAGGAAAGATCTAAGAAGCAATGCTATAGATAGATGTATAATTACACATAGATGTGCACTCATGTAAATATATTAATTCATAAGAATAGAGATGTTGGCCTATGTACATATATTTGTATGGCAATGCATTGAGGAAGTGGACGGACTTTGGGCCTCTGCTCAAGCCCTCCCTCAACTCAAGAACACTTTGTTCTAACAACCTGGTGTTCTGTGATGCTCACCCTACTGGCTGAAGACAAAATGAGTACATAAGTAAATGTGGTGAAGAAAGCTGATGGTGCACAGCTATCAAAAGATAAAAGCATCTGGGGTCTTAAAGGCTTGAAGTTAAACAAGCAGCCATCTAGCTCAGAAGCAACAAAGCCCACATGGAAGAAGCACACCAGCCTGTGCAATCATGAGGTGCCGATGGGATCAGGTAACAGGCACCAGAAGACCCCAAACAAAACATAAAAACATAGAACAAGGGAGATGAAGCAGAGACCCAAAACCCATCTGTAGACACTGGGACATCCCCTCACAGAAGAGTCACAAAGAAGGAATGAGTCAACCAGGGCACAGTATAGCACTGATGAAAAATACGATATTCCTCTGGTTCTTTGAGGCTTCCTCACCCCCAATATCATGAACCCAGTTCTGCCTTTCAGTTCTGGCTAGACCAGAGCATGTACACTGGTACAGATAAGAGCTCACGACACACGGAATCCAGGTCAGATAAATCCCTCAGGAACAGAAATGGGAGTAGTGATACCAGGAGGGTAGGTGGAAGGTTGGGGGAGGAAGGGGGATTATCACAATGATAGACACATAATCTCCACCCCAGATGGATGGACAACAGAAACGTGTGAAGGGAGACAGCGGTGGGTGTAAGATATGAAATCAATATAACTTATCAAAGGGTCACAGGGGTGGGGCAGGCAGGGGGGGGGCGGAGCTGATACTAAAGGCTCAAATAGAAAGTAAATGTTTAGAAAATTATAATGCTTGATAAAATTGATGTGGAATATTATGAGCTGTACGAGCTCCCAATAAAATGATTAATAAAAAATAAATGAATCCTCATTTTAAAGAACTTGGCTCTGATAAATGCTGTGTGGTTTGACTTCCTTTTATTTACCATCTCTTGAGTGTACTGTACTAAGGATTTTCCATAAGTTATTTTTTCTGTAACATTGTGAGGTGTGGGTATTTTTATCCCCATTTTACAGATGTGCAAATGGAGGCCAGAGTTTCAATAACGTGACCAAGATCACTTAGCCAACAAGTGGAGGAGCCTAAATTTAGCTCCCAAACTACCGGTAATTAAGCCCAAACCAAATCAGTTGTCAGGTCAATTCTGTCTCCTGGTGACCCTCATGTGTTGTACAATAGCACAGTGCTCCACCAGGTTTTCAGTGGCTGGTTTTTTGAAAGCAGATCTCCAGGTCTTTTCCCAAAGAGCCTCTGAGTGGATTTGAACTGCCAGCCTTTCTGTTAGTGGTCGAGGACTTAACCATTTTTTGACACCCAGGTACTCCTTATATTGTTAGATAGATAATAATTAACTGGGTTTGTGATAACCCAGCACCCCATCTTACCTCTCTGTTAAATTGGTGTCATTTTCTAAGTTCACGTTTTCACATTTAAAACTTTTTTTTTCATGACAGTGTCAGCATGATCAAAGTGAATAGCCCTTCTTAACACATTTTCCTCTTGTTCCCAGAGGACCTGAAGAGGCAAAATGCAGTGTTGCAAGCTGCCCAGGATGATTTGGGACACCTTCGGACACAGCTATGGGAAGCTCATGCAGAGATGGAGAACATCAAGGCCATTGCCACAGTTTCTGAGAACACCAAGCAAGAAGCTATAGATGAAGTGAAAAGGCAGTGGAGGGAAGAAGTTGCTTCACTTCAGGCTGTTATGAAAGGTAAAGGCAAAAATGATTGCTGTTATGATTTTCTAAGGCAACTGAGTCTAAGAATTGCCTTAAAGCAGGGCTCATAAATGGATTTAAAGCAGGGCTCATAAATGGATTTAAAGCAGGGCTCATAAATGGATTTAAAGCAGGGCTCATAAATGGAATTTTCCCAGGCAAGTAGTATCAATGAGTACAGCTGAGTTGGCACCGGAAATGAGCTGAAGGAGCATGTGCTCACGGTAATGCTGTTACACGTATTAGGTCCAACCAGTTACTGCTGTGCCAGTCCAGGGTTGCCATATCTTCTAGATTTTTCGTGTGTGCAATCTTCTGATTTACTGACATTGATGAGGTAGAATGGTATACAAGCTAGAATGGCTTTATGGGTTACCAATTTGTGACATTTGATTTAAAGCGGTGGTTCTCAACTTTCCTAATGCTGTGACCCTTTCATACAATTCCTCATGTTTGACCCAAAGGGGGTCGAGTGGCTGGTCTAAAGGAAGAGTAGTAAGGGTACTCTCTGGCTTAAGATGTATTTGAGTTGTTATGATGAACCACATTTAAGACTGTCCATTTTTGTTTAGTGTGCTATATCATTAGTAGTATATACTGTATATGGTGTTGTAGCATGTGATTTGCTGTAGGTTTATATGTAATTTTTCCAGCCTTGAATGACAAGAGATTGGATTGATAAAGATAGTGATAATAAAGAAAACTAAAGGGGAAAAAGAGAAGTATTTGACTTGCGTCAGAACCAACTTCCACTGGAATTGATTGGGTGGAACACCATCGTCAGACTGGGAGTCGTGCTTAATTGCTTCCCACATTTCTGCGGAAATGATAGGGAAAGGAAGCTGAGCTTCTCCCTAATGGGTTCCTGGACTTAGGGTAGTTAATTTTATGAATGTGAAATAGTAATGGGGCGCGCGCACACACACACACACACGTCTTCATAGTGATATGTCATTCTTTGCTTTAGTAATGTTTGGAAGGAAGCAGATCAGACTAGCCCAAACAAAGTTCCATTTTTCAGTTTGTGGCTTTTTCCTGGGATTAGTTTAAAATCAAATTCAACTGCCATCAAGTCAGTCTGACTCATAGCAACCTTATAGGAGTAGAGTAGAGTAGAACTGCCCCTATAGATTTAAAGACTGAATTTTGATAGGTGCATAAAGCCACTTCTTTCTCCTTCAGAGCCGCTGATGGTTCCAAACTGTTGACTTTATAGTTAGCAGCGCAACATGTAACCCACTACACTACCAGGGATTTTTTTTTTATTGTTTATTGTTTTATTTTTTTTAAACATTTTATTAGGGGCTCATACAACTGTTATCGCAATCCATACACACATCAATTGTGTAAAGCGCATTTGTACATCATTCTCAAAACATTTTCTCTCCACTTAAACCCCCTACATTAGGTCCTCAGTTTTCTCCTCCCTCCCCACTCCCCCCTCCCTCATGAGCCCTTGATAGTTTATAAGTTGGTATTTTGTCATATCTTGCCCTGTCCGACGTCTCCCCTCACCCACTTTTCGGTTGTCTGTCCCCCAGGGAGGAGGTCATTTATAGTTCCACTACCAGGGATTTTTAGGATTACTTTTAGGCCTCTTAATAACTCAGACGATTATAGCTTACCAAAATAGCAGTTTACTTTTCTCAGAACGAGGAGTCCAAAGGTGGGTCATTTAGGGCTGATAATAATGGTTCATGAGGCAACAAGGTCCCACACTCCTTTGGCCCTTCTATTGCTTCATCCTTACCATGTGATTGCCCATTTTATCTTTGCAACATGGTTGCTCCTTCTCCAAGCTGCATTGGAAAAGCAAAGGCTTTTCTAGCATAGCACCCTCCTAATACTTTATTGGCCATAAATGTGTGGTCACCCATACCTGCAAGAAAAATGGGGGGGAAATGTACTTTTTTTTTTAGCTGAGTACATTTATTTCTGAAACTGTCAGAGGAAACCAGCCTTAAACAACTGAAGGGCCAGAAGGTGCAAATATACCGTGATCATATAAAGATTATAGTAAAGTCATAAAGAATAAGATAGGAGAGAGAATACAATAAAGGAGTCAGAGACATTTTATGATGGCATGGTCACCTCAGCTCCTTTTGATGACGGACCATGTAGAAATGGGTTCTCCAGTGAGAGTGAGCCTTTACTATCTTGGGACATTTATAGGTAGCCATAGACATGCATATTCAGTAGTTACATGCTCCCAAGGTGGGTGGTATCTACATTAAGGCCCCTGAGCTCGCAGGTGAGAAAACCTAATACTTGCATTGGGGTAAGGTAAAAGGGCTTGGGTGTCAGGACTGGAAGAATGAGTGAAAGGATGTCTGCTTCTATAGTTAAAGCTGCTGGCTTCACAGCAATCGGCCAAGTGCTTGTAAGAGGTAACTTTAAGGTAGCACTATTATTTTTTTAAGGTAGCACTATTATTTTTTTAAGGTAGCACTATTATGGGAGGGTATAGTGGGGAACAATGTTATTATGATTGGATTTATCTGTAACTCACAAGGGTGAAGGCCTACCTCCACCCCAGAAACCCAGCCTTCCAGGCTTCTTAATGTATGAGAATAAAGGATTCATCCATATATACTCTCTTCCCGTTCTCTGCTCTCCCACATAAAACTCAGTTGAGATTTGTTAATAAGGAAGAAGAAAGGGTAGATAATAGGCAACCAGAAGCATCTTTTAAAAATAATATTAAGGTATTTTATAAAGACTTTCTAGAATTTGTCTCCATTTACAATCCTGGGTTAGGATAAAATATTCTAGAAATATATCCCCTTTTTCACGGTTTGATGTATTTGGATTGGGGTGTCATGTTTAGAATTTGAGGTTGACTTGAGTTTTAGCTCTTTCAGGTTATAAAACATTGACAACATTATTTAACCTTTCCTGAGTTTTCCTCGTATGTAAAATGTCATATGACACAAGTTTGAGGATGAAGGGTAATGCTTTAAAACATTTATAACAGTTGCTACACATATAATAAGAACTAGAAATGTTACTGTTTTTTAAATAAATGAGTTGAAAAACTTCCAGAAATTGGACAAAAGTTCTTTACGTCATTGCTTTTAGTATCCTGGAGCATCTTTTTTGGTAGAGCTTAGTTATGAAATATATGGTGATGTTTTATAGAGACGGTGCGTGACTATGAGCATCAGTTCCACCTTAGGCTGGAGCAGGAGAGAACCCAGTGGGCACAATACCGGGAATCAGCAGAGCGGGAAATAGCTGATTTAAGGAGAAGGCTGTCTGAAGGTCAAGAGGAAGAAAATTTAGAAAATGAAATGAAAAAGGTATGAAAGACTGTGTTCGTCTCCGGAATATTTGAACCTAAAGTGCACGTGTGGTTAAGTACTGTTATGTGGTAGTAAAAGTTGTGCTTTTATGTTTTTGGTTAATGAAGCTACTTGGACATAGACCTAAATTTAGTACCAGAGGATTTGATGCTTTTCCCATAGACATTTCTATGGCTCACTTCCTTGCCCTCTTCAAATCTTTGATCAGATGCTACCATCTTAAAAGGCTTGATCCTGACAGCTCTTGCAGCCTGCCCACTTCCATCCTTACTCTGACCTCTCTCACCTTGCTCTCAGTTTCTCTTTTCCATAACACATAGGTTCTTATAGTAGGCACATGCCGATGATGTTTGTCTCCTTTCTCTTCTTGCTGACCTGTAAGCCTCCTCAGGGCAAGACTCTAGTTGACTTATGTGTCAAAATGCCCAGGTGGTCAGCAAGTATTTGAGGAATGAGTGTTAACTGCTTGGTGATTGTATCTGAACTACAGTTTCAGAACAGATGTTAGGTTTCCTTTTTTCTGAATAGGCTTTTGTTCCTGTGTGATGAATGTGCCACATTATGACTGGTCATGTCATATTTATGCTCTAACACAAGGCAGGTAATTATAGGGTCCGCCGTTTTCCCCATGAACAGATTTTAAAACTTTCTGGCCAATTTGATTATATAAACATTTATTAATTTATATACATACATATTTAAAATCACATAAAATCATAATTTTTTCTTTTCAATTGGATTAAGGGTCTTGGTTCTTAATTAATTATTGGTTATAGATGGATCACTGTTAGATAATTAGGTTATTTAATTAGTTTATTTTTTTAAATAATGTGGAAACTATTTCAGAATCAACACCAGCACAGAAACATCAGGATTTAGAAATGGTGTTCCATTCTCTTATTTGGGAAAAGGATTGTAGTACAGATTCTTTAAGCAGCTGATGAAGTCTGGATCAACACTGGAGTTAACTTTGCCAGTTAATGCACGTTCTAAGTACGCTGCCGACACTTCTCTCCAAGTTGTTTGAGATGAGTTAAATTTGATGTTGCCATTGGCAACCTTACCCCAAGCCACAGTCACATGAGAATAGGTCGGTTTTTCAGTTTGCTATATTTATGATTTCCATAAAATGCGACTTTTTGTCATTTTCAAGTTTTTAATTTTTAAACTATTTTTGGAGAAGTTTTTTTTCCCCCCACAGATAAGAAATCTAATTAAATTTTATTCATGGCTCAGTTTAGGCTCAGAAAGCCTAACTAAAAGTCAGTTTTTTTCTATCTTATTCAGTGTCATTAAATCAATGATTTTTGTCCCTGGTCGTACACTAAAGACTGTGCTAAATAACAATCATTACTTACCAAATAGCAAACCTGTCATATACCTTATCGGAGAAGTTTTTTACTTACAGGAAAATTCCAAGGATAATCCACACAGTTTCTCCTAACGAACATCTTACCTTAGTAGGGAACATTTGTCACATGTAATGGGCCAACGCTGATCTATTATTGTTAAGTAAAATCCCTTCTTTGTGTTCATGTGTCCTTAACCCGATGCCTTTGTTTCCTGTTCCCATCCAGGATACTATATTGCATTAGTTGTAATGTCTCCTTAGGCTTCTTTTGCCCACATCCAAAAACACCTCACTGTCTGAAGTCGATGCTGACCCACAGGGACCCTTAGGACAGGGTCGAACTGCCCCTGCGTGTTTCTGAGACTGTCCCTCTTGACGCTAGTAGAAAGCATCACCTTTCTCCCACAGAGCAGCTAGTGGTTTCAGATTGCCGACTTTGGAGTTAGCAGCCCAACATGTAACCCTGGTAGCCCCTAGTGACCTCTGCATGTATCCCAAACTAGCTTGGACTGGAAGATATGTTAAGTTAGCCTGTCCATTCTCAACGAGACTTAGATCCAAAGAAAGTAACAGGTGAAGTGAGTTTGAAAGGACTGGAAAATAAAGCAGCTCCCTTTTTTCTGAGGACTATGTTGTATATGTGTGGTTGGGAAATTTCCATTTGGAAATATATGATAGTTCCCCTTTCCTAGGATAAATTTACATTCATGTAAATTCTGTAAACGAGATTACTGATCATTTTCACTGACTTTTTAAGTGTACCTTTGTTTCTAGTGTGTGTCATTAAAATTCTGTTTCTTACTAGTTTGCTTGTTAATTGCAGTTTTCTTTTCATGTATGTTTTTAAGACACAAGCTAGAAAGCAGTATGATTGTTTTAGAGGTCATATTTGGGCTTGTTATTTAGATATTAAAAAGTAAAAATAAGATTTAAAATACTATGTTTAAGTAACCATATAGAAACTTTTTTCATTGCAACATACTTTTCTGACATTTTAGAATAGATATTCTTGTTCATGTGTTTAAAAAAGAATTTTTTCATTATTTATGAGGAATTATGGTCTCTTTAGTTTAATCAGAAATGGAAAATTTAAAATATATGTATTTCCTTTTATATATAGGGGATACTTTTTTACTTAATTCCTCAGTTAATTAAAATAGCAAATTTATCACAATGAATTCATTTTCCTACTTACTCCTGATTTCTAAATGAAATACTTGGAAGGAAAACTATGATTATGATTTGACATTCAAAGTCATGCATGATTTAAGATGTTATTTTTGGTTCACTTTTGTGAAAGCTAATACAATGGCCAGTAGAATTACTTGTCAATATAATTTTTAGCAAGTGGGTGGTTAAAAATTTATTCAAAAAACAATTTAATTTGCATTACTTAATTTTTTTAAATCATAGGCCCAAGAAGATGCTGAAAAACTTCGGTCTGTTGTGATGCCCATGGAAAAGGAAATTGCAGCTTTGAAAGATAAACTGACAGAGGCTGAAGACAAGATTAAGGAACTGGAGGCCTCAAAGGTGGTGAAATATCCTATCCTTGTTTGTTTATAACCCAAGATTTTGCCAGAAGCAATTTTAGAATCAATTGGAGATGGGGATGGGGAGGTACTATAAGTAATGACTATGCATCTGAAACACCTCACGTTCTTTAAAATGCAAAGTACTATTGTTACATGTTTCCACCCATAGGGATGGTGTAAATCATCACAATAATGGTGCTTGTGCCTCTTTGTCCCCAAATATTTTCATTTTTGTATCAGAGTGAGAGTTGAGTGCATTCATTTTCTTATTAAGTAAAATAAGCTATTCAGTTATATTCTGAACTGCGCCTCCCCCCACCCCATCGAACTTTTAAATAAGGTAGCTACAGTTTGCCTGAATTTGTTGGCTGTGTGTTGAGTTATGATCCAAAAGTTTAGCAGTTCAAAACCACCAGCCACTGTGCAAGAGAAAGATGATTCTTTCTACTCCCTAAAAGAGTTCCAGTTTGAAAACCTACAGGGGCAGTTCTACCCTGCCCACAGTTCCACCCTGCCCACAGTTCCACCCTGCCCACTAGGGTTGCCATGATTCAGAATGGATTTGATGGCAGTGAGTGTGTTTGTTTGTTTTAAAAAAAGACACAGCTGAGAAAATAGAAGCTGAAAGGACAGGAAAAGAAAAGAATAAAAATAGGAAACAAAATCCCAAATTGAATTGTAGAAATGAATGGGGATCTGTCACTTAATGAAGCAAATGTAAACTGATATTTACTAAAAGGGATTATAAACCTGTTTTCAAGATAAATAAATAAAAGGGGTTATTAGTTTGTATTTTTTAAATATAATTTTATGTTGCTTACAAAAGATACACCTCAAATAAAACCACAAAGGTAATTTGAAAAGAAAAGGAATAGGTAAATAAATAGCATGTAAATACAAAGAAAGCAGATATAGCCGTTGTAATATCAAACAGGTGAGATTTAAAGGACAAAAATAATTAATTGAGATAAGGTGAAACTTCTAATAAACATAAAAAATGACAGTTACTTGAATGCATCTTATATATCCTTGAAATTAACACTCATATTTAGCAACTGAGAGTGTAAGCCAGAAAAAATACTAGTCAGGAAATAGAAGTTTTGAATCACTAGATTCATAATTAGATGCAGTACCAGGGGAAGGACATCACTCACGCTTGTTGAAGAAGGGGCGTCGGGGAAAGAGGAAAGCCCTCAGGAGGTAGACTGACACAGTGACTGCAACAGTGTGATCACGCATGGAACGATTGTGAGGATGTCCTAGGACCAGGCTGGATTTCTTTCTTTTGTGCATAGTTGGCTGTGTGTCGGAATTGGCTCAATGGCACCTAACAACTGCAATCTAGATGTAATCGGTGCATAGAACTATGTAAGCTATCTTTTATGCAGTAGAGATTTTTATAGGAGGAACAATGTGACAGCTATAAATTGTAATCTAGATAAAACGAAAAATTTCCTAGTAAAAGATGCATAGCTAAAATTATCTTAAGATAAATTAGGAAAGCTAATTTATCAGTTCAAAAGGAATGAGTCTGTAGTCAAAATCCTCCTTTTTCCTTTTTTCTCTCTTCCTTCCAAGACCCATTTGGTTTTGTTGGCAAGTTTAACCAAACCTAGGAAGAGATAAGCCATATAGTTTACAAACTGTGTCAGAGAATGAAAAACAAAGTTCTCCTGCTTATTTTATGAGAGTAATAAAACCTTTTTAAAAACAAAAAGAAAGGTAGCCTATGAAAAGAAAGCTCTAGATCTCGCTCAGGAATACTGAAGGAATAAATAGTCTATAGTTTAAATATAAAAGGGGGATAGAAAAAAAATAAATATGACCATGTGGATTTATTCTCAGCAACTTGAGAATGTTGTATCATAAGGATGCCTTTTATTGTGATGTGAAAAGTTGCCTTCAGAAAGGCATTGATAAATTTTAAGTATTCAATAAACTAATATCTATTAAGCCTACTGTGAGCGTCATAAATCAATGATGAATGTTTAGAAATCTTTCTATTAATTGAGTTAAGCATTCATTTTAAAGTAATAATTGATAAACCAGTGGTTGTATGTCCCTATTTTATATCTGCTGCATTCAATCACTATCAGTAGAATGATCACTCTCTGTAGATATTAGGGGAAAGTGCCTCATGACAGTCAGAACTTAGTCATGCCAGGTTAGCCGTTTTGTGGTTGGCTGACAGCCTCCATTGAAGTATCAGATGGCAGTTTAAAGGTGTCATCATCATTTTAGTTCCTGACCAGCACTCGCTACTGTGTACTGTATTGTGGCGTCAGAGTGATGCTAATTGAACAGATAGGTAGCTGTTTCAAGGGGGAGGAAGTGGGAAGAAAAAGGCATGAAAATAACCATGAACTTGAAATTAATCAGAACCATCTGGAAGAGTTGAAAGTTAGCCAGATAGCCACAATTTAGGATGAATAATTTGTAAGACAGGATAAAAGTATTACTTATATCATTCTAGATTTGGGGGGAGGGGAGAGGATTGCATTTAGTTCTGGGTATAACTTTCTAATATTATACTATACCAGTATTTCTGAGTGTTGTTGATCATTTGACAGAGATTTAACTTTTTTAAAAACAAGATGACTTTAAAGTCTTTTGCATTTGCTTGTGTTTATTAAAGTGCAAGACTACCCTGTTTATTCTACCCTGATCTAGTTTTTCTCATGAATGTATGTGTCTGTAGAAAGCTCTCCTTTTTATTAATTTAGGGTGTTTGAAAATATTGCACCAAAAACCAAAGGAAAGCAAACTTGCAAGAATGTGCCGACTATTTTTATCCTTAGAAATGATACTGGCTCATTTTATTTACTAAATCCTGCCTGGTATAACTGAGTATAGTATGTATTGTAGTATACATGTATTGTTTTGGGAGTGCCAGTAGAGCGACCTTTTTGGAAAGCAAGGTACAAAATTTTTATGTGTAATCTTGATGTGCGTCAACTCCGAGTGACATGATGATGATAATGTTTATAATTTAACTATATTGGTTTCCTATTTTTAAATAGAAAATAAATAAACCCAAACTCACTGCTGTCGAATTGTATTTGGCTAGTTGTTGTATAAAAATATATATATATAAATGCTACTTTTTAAGAGTCTAAAGTTATGTAAAGATAAATCTAAATTATCCTAGAGCATAATCAGAATGTACTGTTATATACCTAAGAGAGAAATTGTTGTACCAGGGTATAGTAAAGCACCGATGAAACACACATCATTCCTCTAGTTCAGTGGTTCTCAACCTTCCTAAGGCCACGACCCTTTCATACAGTTCCTCATGTTGTGGTGACCCCCAGCCATAACCATAAAATTATTTTCATTGCTACTTCATAACTGTCATTTTGCTACTGTTATGAATTGGGCAACCCCTGTGAAAGGGTTGTTAGACCCCCAAAGGGGTGGTGACCCACAGGTTGAGAACCGTTAGTTCCTGAATCCCTTCCCCCGCTCCCTCCCAACTACCATGACCCAATCCAGCTAGACCGGAGTACATACATTGGTACAGATAAGAGCTCTTGACACATGGAATTCAGGACAGATAAAACCCTCAGGAACAGTAGTGGAAGTATTGATATCATGAGGGTAGGGTGATGGAGCCGGGAGAAGGGGGAGAAAGTGAGAACTCATCACAAAGTTGATATAAACCCCCACCACCACCACCCAGGGGGACGAATGATAGAAATGTAAGTGAAGGGAGACAACAGACAGTGTAAGTTAGGAAAGAACAATAATAATACATAATTGATCAAGGTTTCATGAGGGTGAGAGGGTTGGGGAGGGAGAGAATAAAAGAGGAGCTGATACCAAGGGTTCAATTAGAAAATGTTTTGGAACTGTTGATGGCAACATATGTACAAGTGTGCTTAATACAATTGAATGATACATTGTTAGAAGATTTGTAAGAGCCCCACAATAAAACAGTTAATTAAAAAACCCCAAATTGTTGTAAACTTCAGTTGAACAGAATCATATTTTATTTTTAGGTCAAAGAACTGAATCATTATCTGGAAGCCGAGAAATCTTGTAGAACTGACCTAGAGATGTACGTAGCTGTGTTGAATACTCAGAAGTCAGTTCTACAGGAAGATGCTGAAAAACTGCGTAAAGAGTTGCATGAAGGTAAATAGAGACAGTAACTATGATCTCCCTCTGTAAGAGAGTAAAATACCAGTTCAGCATGTTACTGAAGCAGTTCAAGCTTTGCTGTGGGTTGGCTTGAATGTTCTCCAGCAAAGCTGAAGTGGTACTACTAAAGATACTTGGATTGTCAATGGCTTCTCCTTCTTGCAGTAAGAAATCCCCAAGGCGTAAGCTGTAGGACAGAATAATGGGGCTGGGATTTCTGCTCCAGCTGCTTTTGGCCTCGCATCCATTTTGATGGCAGTGGTGGAGCCGGACTAGACGAGCGAGAGGGGCAGGCAGTGTGTCCTGCTGTCCTTCCACATCAAACCCTGCTTTTAATGGACAGTTTTTATTTCATTAGCCTGGCAGCAGAGTGATATAGAAAACTGACTATATTTTCTAGAGATAGGAGAAGGCTTATCCTTTCCCATTAAGATAAAAGTAGACTTTTGTTTTTATTTCTTCTAGTATTCCTGTATAGCTGGGCTCCTAAATGTTTTATGTCACAAACTTTTTTGGCAATCTTATGAAGTCCCCTCAGAATAGTATTGTTTTTCTTTTTGATACCTATAATGCAATACATTGCATAGAATTAAAACAATCATACTATGAGAAAAGTACCAAAGTATAAAAACCTCAGACTTAGGATATTATAACAATATACATACTTTTAGAAATGAACGCATTAAGTACAAGGTTTAGCAAAGGGCCAATAAATACTGTTAATTGTGAAGTAGTAATGAGCATGTGTAACAATGACAATGGGATGAAAAGAATCTAACTTGCCTTAGTGACCATGTCATGGGCATTGTCATGCTCTTATGGCTCACTGCCTACATTTTATAATGGAAGGAAATGCTCAGTATGATGTCGAGGTGAGTGAAAGTCAACTTTATAACTCATCCAAGTGCATGTACTCCTGGGGCTCATCTGTTGCAGGTTACACAGGGACATACTGAATATACGGGATTAGGGCTGTGATAATAAGAGTTGTACAGTGAATATTTTTCCAAGTGTATAAAATGTGATAGAGAACAAAGTGATTCATAAATCATTTAGGTTTGGATATGAGTTAATTTTTTCCAAATACTGGAAAGCTGAAATGACAAGCCTACAGAAAAATTTCATGAAGTTCTGAAAATAATCCAAACTTTGAGTGAGTGGGTCTTTGACCTTTAGGAAACGGTTTTCAATTGTACCATTGTAGTAGAAAAGATGCCTGTACTCTGAAAGGGTGTTGGAAAGAAATAGGAATTTTGCTTAAACTGTATGCCCCCAGCTACATGTAAGTCCTCGAAGTTCTCAAACCTTCATAATACACCTGAAAATATGTCTGAAAACATTAATTCAAATGAGGAAGGGGGAGAGAGTAGTTTCTATACTGACGCACTCAAACCAAATAAAGAAATTGTCTTTCAGGGACAGGAGACTGGTAAAAATGGAGTCACGGTATAGAGTACAACTCAAATGGGGGGAATCAGGCATGCAACTGAGTTAGTGCACTTACCAAGGATGGGTGTAAAACTTGGAAGTAGCCTAGGAAACAGTAGTGCCACAGATGAAGAATAGGTAATCCTTTGTCATAGGAGCAGATAAGTCTTAAAAGAAGTTGTTTGTAAGTGGAGTTTTGAAAAATTGCTAAGTATGTGCCAGGTAGTCAAAGATAAGTGTGGCATTCAGGGCCTTCTGTATGTGGCATGAAGTGGGAAGTAGAAGAAGATGCAAGAGGCTATAGGCCAAAATGTGGATAGGTGAGGTAAGGATGGGCCAGATCATGGAGACCTCTAGCTAAGGATTTTCTACCTTGTGGGCAGTAAGGATTGTCTGAAAGTTTTCATTTATTGGTTTACTAAAGTAGTAGCTTTAATGAGATGCAATTTACATGCCATAAAGTTGACCTTTGTGAATTATACAGTCCAGTGGGTTTTAGTATGTTTATGAAGTTGCACACCATCACCACTATCTAATTGCTGAAACTCTACTCCTTAGCAATCCCGCCCTAGTCTCTCCTTCCCAGAACCCTTGGCAACCACTAATCTATTTTCTGTCTCCGTGGACTTGCCTGTTAATGGACATTTCATATCATTGAGATCATAGAACTTGTGTCTGGCTTCTCTGAAGGACATAATGTTGGCAAGTAATATGATTATTTTAACGTTTTCAAAAGTTCAGTGTGACAGCTGATAGAATAGAGAGGAAGAGTCTGACTGCAGGAAGAAGAACAACAAAGAATGACTCTCAGAGCTGTCTACGTTTTGAGGGCGGACCTAAGGCAGAAACCAGGAGATGGGTATGTCATTGTGCAAAGGATCACTAAACCTCTGTGACCGGCGGCTGTGTTGGGTGAAGAAATGTCAGGAGTAGACGTTGTCTCTCAGGTGTTTGCCTTAGGGGGCTGGATAGCTGACTGAACAGACGAAGCTACTTACTCTTTCAGTAAAATGTGACTGAGCTGCTTGATATCCTCCATACAGACATTGGCTAAGATTTCTTTGATTTACCCTGAGAGGTTACAACTAAATCAACTCAATGATTCCGGGGCCACAGATTTATCAGACTGTGTTAAAGGTAATTAGGGATGGCTACTATAGCTGTGGTTTAGAGCAGTGTTTCCCGTAGAAAGCTGGTTGCATGAGTTCTGCTGTTTAGGAGTGGTGGTTTTTGTTGTTGTTAAATAAATTTGAGAAATAATGTATTGTCTATCCCGTTTCTACCCGCCAGAGAACATAGACATAGTGAAAACTGAGCTCACAGCCTTGCCCTGAAGAGGTTGCTGAAGTTTTAGTTTATACAACTGACAGAGCACAGAACTCTTTTTTTCCCCACGTGTTCCTAGGAGCACTCTGGGAGACTTTGCTTTAGTCTACAAGTTGCCCCTTGGTGCCAGTCAGGCAGAATTCCAGACAGATTGGACCACTGGCCACACCTGGTCTAATAGCCCTATGTTAAAGAAATTGCCTTCCATTAAAATTCAGTGTTTTTGATTGGGGGGATTCCTAAACAGTTTGCCATCTCTTGGAGCAAGAGCGACAACAACACAACCAGTTAAAACACACGTGGCGGAAGGCCAATGACCAGTTTTTGGAGTCTCAGCGTTTGCTGATGAGGGACATGCAGCGAATGGAGATTGTGCTGACTTCTGAACAGCTCCGACAAGTTGAAGAACTGAAGAAGAAAGACCAGGTGAATAGCAGTTTTATAGGACTTGCTTGCTTCATTAATCGTGCTCCCACAGCCCCAACCATGCATGACTGTACTCAAGATGGACTTAAGCTGAACAACGTGATTTCTGCCATTTTGAAAAACACAGTACCTGCCTCTAAGGAAGTTTGTTCTTCAGTTTTCTTGTTTGGGGAAAACCACTGATGTAGAAATTACTTTCTTCAGAGACTGTAGGATGCCTCAGTGCCTATTTCTGAGAAAATTTTTCTCTCCAGGACACCCTCATTCTCCTAGGGTCCCTGAGTTGTGTAAATCAAGGCCCAGTTATCTGTGGCCTTGCCTGAAAGCCTCTGCAGAAGGCCACAAGATGGAGACAGAAAGGCGGAGTGATGTCAAACGGCGGGCGTTCAGAGTTCTGTATGCCAAGACCTTTTCTCCTAGTCCTACTTTTAAAATTAATTTTTAGTTGCATAACTGATATACAAATAACATCCTCATGTTTTAAAAAAATGCGTTAAGCACAGCTAAATGAAAATCTATGACATCTCCCATACTTGCCCTTCTCCGGAGTAAGCATTTTTTACCCAGTTGATAGGTTGACTTCCAGACCGTGTCTGTGGGTCTGTGGGTGTGTTTTAGCTTCGATCTTTCATACAAGTTTAACACACTATGAGTATTTATTCTATGTTTCCCCCCAAACATTGTCTTGGGTATGTATTCACATTATACATCTTGTTCTTGGAAACTTTAGAAACATGGATAAATATACTTGACAATCTTTCTCCTGGTAGTAGCGATCTAGTTGATTTCCTCTTTATTTTTAGGAGTGGTGGTGGGGTGTTATTTGAAACAGTGTTGCAGTTAATTTCCTAATCATACCCATCATATATATGTATACATGCAAATACGTAATTCCCTAGGAGAAGTTACCTAGAACTGTTTGCTGTTTTCCTAGGTTTTGTAAGAAATACTTTAAATTGCCGTAGGTACTTAAACTAGATTTCACTTTTAAAAAGTTTCTTTTTCATTTTCTGCATGTCATTTAATTTGGACTCACTCACCTCGTGTGGAACACAACCAACCTAAGCAATTAAATTCTAAGGTACAGATCTGAACACACCCCTACTACTGCCCAGTAAGACAGTAAGACAGTTTAAACTCCTCAGGTGGTCATTTAACATTTGTGTAACTCTTATTATGTGCAAGCATTGTGTTAAGATGACTTTTTCTCCAGAAATTCTAAAAAATAAAACAGAACTTAAATAAATCAAAAGAAAATTCTGAAAAAGAAAGAAAGAAAATTCCCCATGTGAGTCTGGAGTGTAGTATTATTTAATAGATTAGGAAACCAGCTGAGAGAGGTACTGGCAGATCTGGGAGTGGAGTGAATCTGTCTGGTTCTACCACCCCCTGTCCCATTGCCTCACTTTTCTCCCTTGCTGGTCTGCCTTTCGGTCCCAGACAGGCTACTCAGCATTCCCCTGCATGCCTGCCCTCCCATGCTCTGTTCCTTCATACCGCTGCCTCTCTGCCGGAGCTCTTCTTCCTGTCTCCTCTCCACCACAACTGGAAAACTTGCGAGATCCAGCCCAGCCCATTGGACTCTTTCTTAGCTTCCTCAGATGAAGCCAGGCATTGTTTTTCTCCCCCTTTCAATATAGACCCTTGTATATACGTGCATAGTATTGTAATTGTTCCCCCTCCCCACTAGGCTGTTGAGGCACCTATATCCATCTTTGTTGAGTGAATTATTGCATCAGCTTCAGCCATTCCTTTTGCCTTTCACATACATTTTCACATGTTTCTAATGGATATGTAAATAACAGTCACTTTTTTCTCTTTTTTTTCTACCATAATCAGAGGGAGTGTTTAATGTAGTTGTTCCTCCCCTGGGATCATTTGAAGAGACAGGGTTCTGCCTTACTTTCAAGTAGTGTGCTTTTCTTAAAAGCTGCTTCCTGACGTCATCTTTGTCCCAGGTTCATACTTTGTGTCCATGGTTTTGAAATAATTTTGTTGTGACCAGAGAACCTCAAGCATGATTGCAAAACTCTTGTTTTGAGTTGCTTTATGGCTCCTTAGTTCAGATTACCTGGGTCATAACAAATTTTTCCTAACTTTTAGGAAGAAGATGAACAACAAAGACTTAATAAGAGAAAGGACCATAAAAAAGCAGATGGTGAGGAAGAAGTTAAAATACCAATAGTGTGTGCTTTAACTCATGAGGAATCTTCAGTCCAGCTATCAAATGAAGAGGTATGGTAGAATTGATAAGTCAGCGTATACAGGATTTTTTAGCTTCCTTACCCTTCAATAGATTGCATTCTTCAGATGGAAGCATATAGCTGCTCGTTTCAGATTAGGTAAAACAATGTTTATTTTCACTTCTTGTTTTTAAGGCATATGTAGCACTATTTGAAACATGTTGTGAGCGTTCACTCTCTGCCTCTGAGATAGATATTTCTGCAGTAGTGCCAATATTGGCATTAGAAAATATTGTTAAATAATGTCTGAAAAATCCTTATTTGATATGAAGAATAAATGTTAATATTTTGAGCATTTTGTTTTAAAAACAATGATCTTCATTGTTGGAACACTTAACTGTCTATAGCACATGGCATGAGTGTTTAACCAGTATTTGGTCTTCAGCCTCGAGAATCATGTGTGAAGTGTAATGGATTGTGATGGAGGTGGGTAGTGCATTTCCGGTCTTGGGATCAGATCAACTAGACAGAGTAGAGACCTGGGGCGGGAGGGGATGAGGGCAAGGTGTGGGGAGTATAGGCGATGCTCCTGTGGCCTCATCAGCTTTATTCACCGTGTGGCAGGGCCTCCTCACCAGGCTACCTGTCTTCAGCTTGCTCTACTCCAGTGCACCCTTGACATTACTGCCAAAGTCACTTTTCTTAAGTGCAGCTGCAGTCGAGCCACTCCCTTCCTTCAAATCCACCACTGACCTCCACTGCCTACGTAAATGCGTACACATGCCTCCCTCCCACTGGAGCGGTCCTTCTGAATGTGGACTCTGCTTTTTAGCCACAGCCCTCATCTTAAGCTTCATTTGGGTTTTGGGGTTTGTTTGTTTGTTTGTTTGTGTTTTTTCCCTGAATACTTACCTCCCCCTGCCTATCTGAGTGTTGAAATTTTACTTATTCTTTGAGGCTCATGCATACTGGGATCTCATTATCTTTTAATTCCATTTTCCATGAACTTTTGAAGCCCTCTTGTTCTTACTTACTGTCCTTGATGTTTAGAATTTCTTACTTGCTCACCGAGCCCCTCCTCTCCCGGCCAGGTGAAGTAGTTTCACTTACATTGGATAAAGGTCTTTTCTTTACTTTCAAAGATATCATGTTTCTGTATAGTTTGCAGATTTATTCTTAGTTGTGAATAATCCTGTTAGCTTTTAATTTCCTTGGTGGTTTTTTTTTTGTGTGTGGTTAATCCTGTGAGACCTTGAAAAGTATGATGTAGTTGTTTTTCTGCATTCTTTGTTTGGAACAAACACTGGGGACCACTTGTCTTGATTCAGCCAATTGTTTCAAAAGTTTGTACTCCTAGGAAAATGTCTGTTTTTAAGTACAGCCAAATATGTGATTTTTGCATCATGCAGTCATGCAGCCAAGAATGTTTGAAAAGTAAAAATTTAGAAGACAAATGGGAAAGGAAGGTTTGTTGTGATTTACAGTGAAGTATTTTTCTTCTTTTTAATTCTGTCTTAACAGATCTATATGATATATTGTGAATAACATTTCCTGACATTTGAGCTATCTTTTCCCCATTAATATAGGCTGGCTTATAGTTTACATGTTGAGTGTAAACTGTTGGGTGTTTGAGGATTGTGAGTTACATAAGACTTGCTTCAAAGTTGATAATGGATGACTTGGGGACTTAGTCTGACGTATTGCCAAAGACATTTTAACCCAGCAGGACCTCATGCTTTCCTTAATCTGATGCTTAGAATATGTTTATCTCATTACTGGTATTTATTATATTACCCAGAAATAACTGCCATTAACATTTTGATAATGTGTCGTTTCCTATTTTTCTAACTTAAAGATAATATAGATATGTTTCTATTTGCACACTTTAAACAGTCTAGATTGTGATTGTGCATTGAGGTTGTTAGTTTATTGTTCCAACCTGGCTGATAAACACATGTGGGGTTAATTGAAGGGCGGAGGGATAAATGGCTCTGTGAGCCTCATCTTTCTAGTTCTTAGGTCTCTTGCTTTGTGATGGTCGGACCAGGGGGCAGCTGCCTTAGCCAGTTTCCTGCTTTAGCTAGCAAGGCTCACTTCCTGCAAGATATCCCTGAGGAGAAACCACATGGACCTACCCCGATGCAGCCCTGGGTGCTGGAGCACCCGTGTGGAGACCCCTGCCAGCACTGAGATGATTACATGTTCAGCTTTCTTCCTGTAGTCGGCGTAATAGTGTGTGTTTTGTGATATGGAGAAGCTTTGTGGACTGGTGTTGGACATATGGATTAATGGGTTAATGTTGGACTTGTGGGCTTGGGCAGCACTGGGTTGGGATGTTTTCCTGATGTGCACTTAACCTTTATGTAAAACTCTCTTATATATGTGTTGTGGTGGATATGTTTCTCTATAAAGTACCCAGACTAATACATGCATATAACTTGTACCTTTCCCTCCATGCTATTTAAATCTATACTTAATGTTTGGGCATATTGTTAAATATTTCCCCCTCAACCCAAATTATAAATGTGTCGTAATATTCTTTTTTTTTAACTACAAAACTTTTCACTATTATAAATAATGTCATAATGCTATTATACTCATTCTTTTTTTATTAACAGGGTTAAGTTCCAAAGACCAGGTTGTTAGGTGAAAATCAACATTCTGTGAAAAATGAAAGATCATTACATAACTGCCAAATTATATTATACCATAACTACTAAACTACATTATCTCCTCTCTGCCAAACCGTGAAGAATCGTGGCCCAACCAAGTTGGCACATAACTTTAACCATCACTGCCAGCAAAACTCTTGCCTTGTACCTCAATGTTTATTCCTGCCATTTATACGAGGGGGTACCAAAAAAGGGGAATTTTCCCCCCCAAAGTTCTGTATTTAATTTTTTTTACAAAACAACCTTCAAAAGTACTCTCCATTACACTTAATACATTTGTCAAATCTGTGATTCTTTTTTTTTTTAAATCATTTTATTGGGGCTCGTACACCTCTTATCACAATCCATACATCCATCCATTGTGTCAAGAACATTTGTACATTTGTTGCCATCATCATTCT